TTTATATAGATATTTTAATTTTGAACAGTACAACCCTTCAAAGGTTCATATACGAACCATTCAAGTAAGAATTTGCTAAACTATCGTAAGTTTAAATGATTAGTTTGTTTTATTTGAAGAAATGGAAGTCGAAATGATGCTTCGCGAAGACGGTGAAACTACCACGCGTACTACTGTGAAAAGAAGACAATCAGGGAAACGATCGTGAGTATAACTTTGACAATATATTAAATAGAAGTGGATCGAATTGAGTAAAACGACCATTTTTCTTACTGAAACTGGTGGAGTTTGGTTTTTAATGCTGAAATTAAAAATTTTCTCTGAAAAAATGACCTACGTATGATCTACGAATTTGTAAAATATTTTTCTTAAAATCTCATCATGAAATACATCAATAATGGCATGTATGAGGCCTATCATTGAATTAAATACATTGATGACATTTATGGTGCATATCATTAGATAATCTGACTTGCATCAGTCAAGCACATATTTACAATAGTTCATTTATTTTACGTAGGAACAAATGGAAATCGAATTTACTACGTTTGGGTGTTGGTGCTTTGGCGATCATGTTTCTTGCTACTATGGTCTCTCTTGTCGTTTATAAATCAGTACCCAGCACTCGAAAATCAAGTGAAACGGCCAAAAATGGAGCAGGTTAAGGTTGAATATTTATTAGACGATCATCATAATCCTATATATGTGTAGATATTCAAGAGATTAACCTGAAAGCTATTTTCAGTTCAAATCATGTTCTGGATAACAAAATTGAATCATCGAACATAATAAATATCGATAATATCACTGATCAAGTAAGACGTCTAGTAAATAGTTGATCTATATTATTCTTCTGTTTTTTTCCAGCTGAACACCAGATTGAATGGAAAAATAGTTAGTGTTGTCAATGCATTTTTCCGAAATCATTCCATATCGAACGGGTATTGCCAGAAAACATAATCTATTGCTATCGTTTCACTGTTTCAATTTTGATTAAGGATTTTATGCGATAATCCACTAACAGGAAACATTCTTCAGTTGAATATGATCACTTTTTACGCTCGTGACTGTCCTTATTCTGAAGCTGATATATGTAAGATGCAGTTCCAGGAACAATTAAGAGAAATGTTCGATGAACGTTCAAGCATTCCTATTACAATTCAGTTTGATAACAAGCGTTCCAAGAGTATTGATATTAAAATATGTACTGTCACAGAAATGACTGGTAAGATAGAAAGTATCACTTTACAAGAATTACATTCATTTTATTTTTAGCAACAGAAGAAGAAAAAATTCCAACAGAGACAAAAATAAAAGTAAAACAAGCACTGATACCATACGCAGCATCGCAACCAAGACGAACAAGCCGTAAGTATCTGTAGCAAGATTGATAAGCTTCTTGCAACCTTTCTGTTGGCAATCAAACTACTCTCTAACTTTGGGAAATATTCATAATTTTTGATATTCTTAAAATACTCTGATGCTAATAATGACAAAAACTATGAACATCGTTTGATCAACATCATTAGCATACATTTACCGTAAAATTTGTTGAATCTCACTATGATTCAACGGCTCATATAGTTAGAAGCAGGTTGAAATTTCTACTGATGCAAAGCATAAAATGAATATTCGAAGTTGAAAGTTTATCTTATGAGTAGATTTATGAAGAGAAGCAATAAATTTACTGTCTACAAAATGAAAATGTTAATCATAATTGATTGATTCGACTCGTAAACGAGAGCCCTATTTAAGTTGATCATATTATCTGCGAGGGTAAAATAAACTCACATAGTATCGAATAGTCTTTCAGTGCCGTTGATACTATGGAATCTTATCCATTCAGTGCATCTGTTGTGATCTGTGGAACTGCTCAGCTTTTGAGGTAGTTCACTTTTCTCGCTATATACAACAACACTTGTTTCGTATCATGTTTTATAAGAAGTATTTTTGCTTCAAAGTTTGCCGTTAATGACGTTAATAAGTGTTGGAAAAGTGTTACTAACCAAAAAATTTGCTCATTTTTACTTGAGATAAAACAGTTCAAGTCATTTATAAGCATATGTCGAAGGAGTAATCTATGGAATTCTATCATTTTGAGCTCATAGTTTGTTTTGCAAGTAGGAAACAAATCAAGTAGTATAATCTTCAAAAATGTCTTGCTTCATAAAGATTGGACGGAAGTATAGTTGTTCAGAATATGATACTTTTAAAAAAATTGCAATGAAACTAACTTTTTTTCTTGAAACTGCAAAGGAATCTTCAAACTAAAAACATGCATATCCTGGTCAAATCTAAATCAAAAAAGAAATTCTTTCAAGTCTGACCTAACTAACTTACTGGTAATCTTGTTATCGGCAAAATATGAGTTCAACAAGACTAATTCTAAAATGGTGCCTTCAAGATGTACTGAAAGAATTATTCAAATCTTCTTTGTTTTGGATAAAAACGAGCAATTCTTTTTGTTAAAGCTCTTTTTGGTTACTTATTGATTTAATTGGCAGAAACAATCCAAGACAGAAAAACTTTCTCTAGAAGAATGATATAAATCAGACACATTTATTAAATTATCAGTATACAATTGTTAAATCTTTCAGTTTCTTCATACGTTTTCAAACAACTATTGCATATAAATGACTTGAGATTTTTGTGAAACACATGATTGAAAAAGAGTGTTGAAGGATATGCTGAAAAAAGTGCCCTCTCTCCGCCCGTCCACATATTGTGACAGGTCTTGCGGCATGCTTTTTTAAATTGTCAGGCGATGAAATATCGAGTTAGTATCATAGTGTTCGAAGTGTAGGACCATGAAGTTTTGGTTATCTCAGTCCATGTGACTTAGAAGAATAATAGGATCGATATGGGTATGACTTTTCTTTACGTCTAGAACCTATCCAACGTGATTTTCATTCCAATCCGCAGGAATACACTGAAAGCTTTCCAGCTAAAATAATGTTTTCACAATTGTTGTGTTTATCTTCTATCCTTCTAAAATTAAAAAAATGGTTATCAAGTTTTTTCATCGATACCACCATGTAAAACTTCAATTATCAGCTCTGATGAAAAAAAAAATGACGCTTATAAAATACTCAAATTCATATCTTGTAGGCTTTGATCATGAACTTGAGTGATGGAATTTAATAACTATACAAGGATGCATCATAAGTATTTCTGCATAGGATAATATCCCCACGTTTGTCATCACTTAATATTTCCAGTCATAGACAGTTATACGTTATTGAATTTCTATCATATTGAAATACCATGTCATTTACGAAAAGAACTTTTATATATAGAGCATGATATAGTGATGGTTCTATATGAGGTAATTATTTAAGAAACTATCATATAAATATAATTAAAAAGTATCATCGGCACGATTTACTTGCTTTTTCTAAAATGAATGAAACTGAAAAAAATTATGTAGATGATAACACTTAAAAAATGACATTCAGTATTTCAAAAAATAAGAACCAAAGATAGCAAAGAACAAATAGTCCTTACAGAAGTGTTCGTCTTACCTCAACTACTTCAGTTCGAAAAAGGAGGCAGAAGGCATCTGTTTTTGCATACTTTTTCTTGCTCTGCAATAGCAGTCAAACAGAAAAAAACCCACAGCTGTGCTATATTCGAGGATATGTAAGCAGTTATATATGATTTTGATAGTGTTTTCATAGTTTAAATGCTACTGCTGATCTCTATGACTTGTCGAAAATTCCATGATTCATTTTGTATATTTTTAATAGAACTGCGCGCAAACCCCGCACCATATTCGCCATTACAGAGGTCTCGATGTGCTCTGTGCATTAATAGAATCGGTCTTGTTCAAATGCCTGGTGAAAGCGGGACGCGTATTCAAGATGATATGCAAACAACTGCCCTTTCAAACGATGATCAATATCGACAATATCTGTCTGCTACAGTAAATGAAGACGCATTCTATCGATTACATGTTCAGCTTGATTGTGGTGGACATTTGAGCGGAGATTCACTTGACAATCCCTGCAGTCGTTTTTTAAGTGTGACCGTATGGATTGATTTCAACGATAATGAATTGGATGAATCGGAAAGTCGACCTCTCCAACCCGCTTGGTCAAACAATGATGTTCCTACGGGTATATATAATTTGGACGTATATATACCTAAAATTGATGGCAGAAATACGAAAGCTGGATCTCATCGCATGCGTATTACTGTGATGCCAAGCGAAGATTATCAAAGAGACTGTGGCAGGTTTTCGTACAAAGAAATACGAGATTATTCAATCAACATTATTCCAATAAAGGAAATTAAAGGTAAGTCATGATTTGTTTACTGATTACAGATTTCACTTCATAACGGTACATGTTTGACCATTTTTCTTGAAGAAAACTTTTCCTAAGTATTTCATTTTTCGGCGTTCCAAGAATATCGATCATACGTAATTAAAGTTTTTCTTGAAAGAAATCATTTTTCACGGCACAGAGTCATATGAAATATAATATTAATTTTTTTCGTATACTTTAAAAAAAAAAACTTTTTCTTCGAATGTGATATTCCATTATTGTCCTTTTAATCAGATCGGCAGACATAGAAGGAATATTCATTGTAACACAGTGTTTTCAGCTACATTATTGGTCGACACTATCTCCACTTCCTCAATTCCTAAAACTAGTGAAAGCTGAACACCTGAAAATTCGTCTGCAAGTAGCTCATAAAAAAGTTTACATTGACGGTATTATCAGCATCAAAATCGCTCAAGTTAGAACGGAATCTTAATGAGTAATCTGTATAATAAATAACTAAGTACTAGTGAAAGTATTATCAAAGTTCAGCAAACTATTATTAAACTTTTCTATTTTTACTGATAACATCGATATGCACAAAAAACAATGGATAGTATTAAGAAATCAATAGATCAGCGAGATTCTGATAAATAAGTTTGTCGTTTTCAGAAGATGTTCTCTTATGATTGATCAGTGTATCCTGAAAGTTTTAAATGAGAAAACCTTTCTAAAAAGAAATCGTTCATAGACGATCATTGTGAATTTATCAAAACCCTAGAATTTCCATTACACAAGTAAATAAGATTATTTTTTTAACAATGGGGGATCATAAGTTGGAATACAATTCAACGATAAAATATCGAGAATTACTCGTATATGAGATGATACATAGGATATCATTGCGAAATTTCATTTTGCAATATTTTTTCTGCCAAAATCACCAATTATTTTCATATGTCAAGTTTTAACTGAGAAAATAGATCGGACGGCTAGACTTCATAGGAAACCGTAAAAACTATTTGTCTCAACTAGAGCATGCAGTATTGGGAATGAAACGAATGAGATCTATATTGGAACGACTATATTACATTAAAGTATGACAATGTCTAATAATTGTTCTCATCAGTCTTGAAAGCATGATATTTCTATAACATTATACAAACTATTCGTTTATATAGCATGATTTGATTTAAAAAAAAAAACTTACCCATGAGATAAAGAAAATATTACAGTCAGATCGATATTATGTATAGTAAAAAACGTTATACCTGCGTTTCCATCTTGTCAACACATAACACTGAATATTGTAAATGTCTTTTAATTGTAGTTGAAACAACGACTCGATTTATCTGCCCTATAAACATCGCTAAAATTACTCTTGTTATCATGGCTGGAGAAAAAGGAACCGAGATACGCGATGATAAACCAGTGACTTCATTATCACCTAATTATATAAATCAGCATCATATGGCTGTTACACTTTTTGAACACACTGTCTATCTGCTACGCATCCAATTGGATTGTTCCTCTCAATTGAAGACTCAATTAACTCCAACTGGTTGTAATCTTGCTCAAGATGTGAATGTTTGGATTGATCTGAATGATGATGGAAAATTTGACGATTCAGAAATCGGAGCTCCTTATCGTTGGCCAGTAACTAGTTACATGGCAGAAGGCATCTATGATATACAAATATATGTACCATTGATCGATAGCAGATATATGAAAAATGGGCAACATCGAATGCGCATTTCTGTCTCACCAAGTGATTATTATCAACGACTTTGTGGCGAACATAATTACCTCGAGACGCTAGAGTATATGGTCACTATTATTCCAAGAATGAAATATTCTTGTAAGTATTCTTCTGTCTAGTAATGAATAGTTTTCTTTTATAATGCTGAATATGAAAAAGTTGAAATGATCCGTTTTAACTTTCTATGCAGAGACAAATACTATAGGTATTCATTAGTTATCGCTTTTATTATTGATTCTTTAGGAAAATAATCTATTCTCAGCAAAAATTAAAAATACATATGTTGTATGTTTTTCTTAATCATGAGGAATTTGTTAAATACTATATCAACTCAAAAAGCATATGCAAAGTCTTTAGAGAACATAATTTTCATCCTTATCATGTATATGAATAATGTATATAGTTATTCAAAAGTCTATATTATCGAAGAATTTAAGATAATTTTTCATCGATATAACAGTATCTGCAGAACAGAAATAAAACTTGCAGCTGCTTCAAAGAAATATTTTTTGGAGTATTGCAATCGAAAAGAAAATTTGCATTTCAAACGCCCAATGTTTTTGATTGAAATAGTTTGTCTATTCTGTTAGAGACAAACCAGCAGCTCACATATTTCCTAGTGCATACTACTAAAAAAGTTATATAAACGATTAGAAATATGTTTGTAAAAGCTTTTGCATTCTCACAACTATGAAAAAGAAAGTGGACGCCATTTTATAGAATATTTACAAACAAGTCAGGTAGAATAGTCGATTAAACTGATTAATAGTCATTATTAAAGAAGAAAGCAAAGTAATCATTGTATGTTCAGATCACCATTCGACATCTACATGTTTGACTGTTTGATCAACTCCAGAAATAGATTTTTCTAGAAAGGTGATGGTCTTAGCTTTTTTCTCAAATCATGTACATATTAAATGTTGAGATTCATTAACAATCAGTTTTCATCATTCAATACTCAAATATGTAGATATTGTCCCATAATGTGTTTTATGTTGATGCATTTCTAGGAGATTATATGGTTTCTAGACTTTTGACAATGTAAGGTTCGTGCTAGCAAGTATTTTTTCTGATAATACCGACTCATAATGATTTCAGCTGTAAGTTTTTTCATAAACATTTGAGAACGTCAGTCGTATCATCACTTTGTTTTGGTACAGAATGCTGTTTCTTTATCATAATCGATCAAACAGAATCTTGTACATCCACATAAAGAAATATTTCAGTGACTATGTACAGAATCCAATTTGTTTCAATTATTATTTACTCTACAAAAGTTCACGAGGTTGTAAAACATTTTAAAAAATTAAACTACATGCAACACTAGACTCTATTCATGCTTTGCATTTTGATCAGAATGTAATAATTTGTTTTGTGAATTGGTCGTTACAGCATTTGACGCTACGCCCACCTCTATGATGCCATACAACGCGCCATGTTCTCCGGATGTTGGCAAAATCATTCTTGTTGCAATGGCTGGCGAGCATCGAACACAAATTCGAGATGATCAATCAACGAGAGCTCAATTGACCCATAACACTCGAATTCATCAACATCTATCTATTGTATTATATGAAGATACCGTCTATTTGCTACGCATCCAATTGGAATGCACTGGATCACGAAACAAAGAATCAGCTGAGAACAACTGTAACCTTCCTCATGATGTGGCTGCCTGGATTGATCTAAACGATGATGGTCAATTTACTGGTACAGAAAATGCTGCTCCTTATCGCTGGCCGCTTGCTAGTTATGTACCACAAGGCATATATGATCTACAAATCTATGCACCCAATATCGATGGAACAAAGACGAAAAGTGGACCACATCGTATGCGTCTTGATGTAACATTAAATGAACAGTATCGTCAAAAATGTGGCAAAAATTATTACAGGGAAACACGAGAGTATAATGTTACCATTGTTAAAAAAAACATGAAACAAACAGGTAAATATTTTTTTCTTCTATTTTATAACTAGAGATACTGAATCTTATGAGTACGATGCAACTATTTCCGTGATGAACGACTTTGTTCGTGTACTATGATGATTTCAATTTTTAAAATATGAACGCTACTGTTAAGAGCATGAATATTTACGAACAGAATTATAGATGATTAAATTATCTTGCAAATAAAAGTATGTTTTGAAAAAAAAAGAAGCTTGAAAATTTTAAATATAGAATAGACTTTAGAAATTAATATACCACTGAGGTTTTTCATTTGATGAAATAAAACCCTAATATTTCTGACAGAACTTCAATAATTTTTTTCCTCTAGACGTAGACACTTTTCTTTTCAAAGAGCATCTAGTAAGATTTTCTCTCAGTTGAATTCATTAGTAATCTAACTATAACTATTGAATTCCACACAACAAAAATTCTAGTAAGACGTTCTCTACTAAATGTTTCTTATTTGTCATTTATGGTCATAAATGTACATATGGTGGAAACAAAAAAGGATCTCTTTTTGCACTGAAGTTGATATATTCGAAAAAATATTCTTTCGAGAAATATGATCACATTAAATGGAAGAGATAAATATAAATATATAAAATTTTAATTTTATTCTTTGTGAAAAAATACTAGAAGTGTAACATCGTCTACAAATGTATAGAGACTGTTTATTCTTCTTTTTTTGAGTTTGTCAGAGAAACTTGATGTTGAATTACATCACAAAGGATAGATACATTGCAATGATTCACATTCATTTAATTGAATTGCGCAAATTTTAAATGAATTCAAATATGTTCTCATGGTCTCTGAATTAAAAACGGATATTTTTCAGAATGAGTTCTGTATTGCTGCAAAAGGCAAGAATTTTTGACGGTTCAAATAAAATCAATAGTTACTGATCGGTAAAACATAAATAAGTTGCACGTTACGAACGAAGTTTTAAGATTTCTATGATATGACATACTAGTTTATTTTCTCAATCAAATTCATAAAGAATACTTATTTTTGTGCATTTTTATTATTTTTAGTTGATATTGGAGGTCCATATTTGGCATTAAGTGATTCAGTATGTTCTAAAACCAATAGCAAAATTGTACTTGTTATAATGGCTGGTGAAAAAGGGACACACATTCGAGATGATACACCAATAAATACTGCCGTCAGAGAGGATCAAAATCGACACCATTTGGCTGTTACATTATTTGACAATACCATCTATCGAATACGTATTCAATTGGATTGTGACCAACGCTCAAGTAGAGCTTCGTTTAAGATCCAGTGTAATCTTGCTTACGATGTGAATGTCTATATTGATCTAAATAACGACGGCAGATTTGATGAATCAGAAAGTCGTGTTCCTCATCGGTGGCCACTACGCAGTACAATGACAATCGGTATTTATGATTTGGAAATTCCTGTACCAAGTATCGATGCAGTTACTACGAAAAGTGGATCACATATTATGCGTGTTGTTGTAAAATCAAGTGACGAATATAACAGAAAATGTGGCAAATCTGACTACAGCGAAACACGAGAGTACACAGTCAACATCATTCCGAAAGAAACATACCGTGGCGGTAACACATATGACGACCGTAATACATATCGTGGCGGCAACACATATGACGACCGTAATACATATGGCAACGGTAATACATATGACGACGGTAATAGATATAGTGGAGATAATACAGGTAAGCAAAAATTACATGAGGATGTCATCCAAAGCTAGTTTAAAATGTATACACTATCCATCAGATTTAGTCTGAGATGTCTTGCATATGCGTTAGGATCAGTTACATTTTCGAGAAACGTTCTTCAACTACGTTTAAGCTAGTCTGAAACGTCTTTGTGCCCGTTATGTATAATCTGTTTTCTTTTCCCATTCCCTCCAGACTAGTCATAAGAGCAGAACAGCGAAAAAAAAGAGACTAAATTTGGATTTGAACATTTGATCCAACAGTATTTGACATTAGATGGGCCTTCTGACAGCAAACTACGATTTAACGATAGGCGAGTGTCATTTTAAGCAGTCTAAATAACAGACTAGTGCTTAGTCATTTCATATATATAATTGAAATTAGTCGAAGAAAAGCAAATTGACTAGTCCAATATGTCTTTAACATATTTAACGAATCCATACTTTCATATATTTCATTATATTCGATGTACAAATTTGGAATTTTGCTGCGTATCAAAGAGTTTATCAAGCAGCTTTCTGGAGAATTAAAACTTGTATGTGTTAATACTGAAAATAAAAATCTACATCGAAGCACAAATACACATGAAAGTACGAAGAGTTCTGATTACTTCCCGATAAAAATTGTCTATTAATGTTCTTTAAAATTTATTGAACTGTAAAATGAATTGAAAATAATCTACTTTAAAAATATGTCTCATATCTTTATACCATAATTATATTTTAGTTAGAATGCGGATGCTTGAGATAAATTTGAAAATATGTAAATTACTTAATATCGGTTTATTTTTCAGTTTGAATGGCGAAAATTTAAAATTGAAATAAATTTCAATCATATTCTAAAAAAATGAATTTTTTTTTGTATTTTTAATTTATTATTGTACATTAAATTAGTTTATGTTTTATTACAATATCCTGCATCGTTTCTTTTAGGTTACAGAGTCACGCATTGTTCACCAGGCAATTTGGTATGTTCAGTAGGCAATAGTGCTATTTTTTTGGTTAGTTTATTAGGTGAGCAAAATACACAAATTCGGGATGACAAGAAAACATGTAGCTCAACAAATAATTATAATGATCGAAGTAATCTAGCTGTGACATTATTCGACAATACAGCTTATACTCTTCATATCGAACTGTCTTGTGTTCAACAATCAGGCTATGGTAATACGTATAGCCAAGATCCGTATGTATTTGAAACAAACTGTCGTGGTGCTCGCTATGTCGGTGTATGGATAGATTTTAATAATGATGGTACGTTTGATCAAAATACAGAGCAAATGGTTCCTAACAGTTGGTATAAAGATGATCCTCGTATGACTCAAAATGATATAAGTTTTACCATTCCACAAATTGATGGTAGGTATTATTTAGACGGACAACATCGAATGCGTATTGTTCTGACACAAGATACAAGAAATCGTAAGCCGTGTCAAAATACTGGTTATGGTGAAGTACGAGATTATACAGTACAAATCATACAGACACCTGCGTATTAAAATGAAAGACAGACATTTTATTGACACTTCATTATTCAAGATTTTTCAAGTGTGCTCTTTTTTTAGTTTTTTTTAATCGTAGAAATAAGACTAACACTTCGCTTTATGAGAATTGCTTAAATAAATTGTAGAAATGTAGGAAAGACATCATTTAAAAACCTCAAGGGTGATACATATCGGATTAAAACGTGATCCATGATAGAGATGTCTCACTAGATCAATCACAATTCGTAGAGGTGTGAAAGAGAATCAGGTGGAAAATTCATTTATCATAGTAGGCATGTCTGTTACAATTTATTCTGTAGACTGCTACGGAGTTCACTTTTCTCGTTATATACTTCGACATTCACTAATAACCATTATTCATGAAAAAGGTATCATCAGCACAAGTTTATCTCAATTACTCTACTACAAAGGTCACAAACACTTTCTAGATTGAACTGTTATTTTCATGCATGAAATCCATCAAAGAACTTCTTTCTAGTGCCAATATCTGTATCATATTCAGAAATCATTCCATTTTTCTTCCGGTGAATCTTGAACGATTTCGATAATTCACTGGATACTTTTCATCATATTTTCGTGACGAAGAAGACACTCGATGTTAATGAATCCCATGATGAAAATCGCATCGAAATTGAATGCATATGGATGAGAAGTAAGCATGAAAGTGTTGACGTGTTAAATGGCATTTCAAAGTAAGTGAAGCACATGCTCTAGGGAACTAACGATGAGCTGAATGTCGAGTATTTTATTTTGATGGTTTCTATGATCAAAACATATAAGCCTGTGATAATCTTGAAGCATGATGAACGAATTTATAATGTTTGCGGAAAGTTAGTCACGTATTAAAAGCTAATTTTGGTCTCAACTAATGGTTTTTCAACTCTAAATTTTGAGCACTCTTTTCTGGACTAATTTTAATCGGCTTTCATAAAATCTTAATAGGTAGTAGTTCTCAGCTCATGTTTTTATCACAAAATATCAGATAAAGTCCATTCTGTTGTCAAGATCTTGCCAAATGATTATTTAAACTAACCTCAGTCAATTGTTAAGTCATGACTTGGCACTAGGACACCCACCAGATATTGAATATTGTCAAGTCAGATGATCTAATCTATCTTTTTCCTTTCTGTGAAATACGATCTAAAAGGAATGTTAAATTATATAGGATAGAAATTTGAATCCACATTCATCAAGTAAAAGAAGAGTGAAGAAACGTGTCCCAATATTAATACAATAAAGCAATCTCCCTATAATTAGCAACAGCAACTATATCGTGTTTCAAATTTTATTTTTGTATGAATTGCGCTAACAGCTGATGTTTTCATTTTCGTTTTACAAACTGTTCTGGACGGAATAGATAGACATAACGGAGGCCCAAAGGATGTTCTGCATTAGTCCAGGCATGATCGCCGGGCATGTCTTGTCAAGACCCTCACTCATGAAAAGTATGGAAGATGTTTCAGGCGAGAATTTCTCACTTATGATGTCGCACATCTTCTTTTATGTTTTGCTTACTTGGAAATCTCAACCTCACAGCGAATTTGTAATGCTCTCAAAATGAATTGAGTAACTTGTCTCTCTCTCTTCATCGTCATCACATCTTCGTTAGTTTTACAAACACACTTACCACACTCTATCTCAAAGAATATCCGATTTGACAAGAAAGAAGTCAACACATGTAACAATCTTTGAAATCGAATAAAAACTTAACCGTGTATTGATGATGTTTGAAGAAACAAGCGCCGATTTCTAACATAATTTTCATTTTTCTATTAAATAGTAAAATAGCTGTCTGTGTTGTGTCATAGTTTCTGTAAAATTATCATGAATATAATGATGAAACAAATCTTGATTTCAAATCAAATGAAAATAACATTCGAATATTTTGTAATTCCACTTGATGATGTGATACGATACCTGATCTCTTATTTCGGTGCTTTTTATGTATTATTGTAAGTACTATGCATTTATCATTCAATAAGTTTGATTTGAGTATTCTTCTATGAAAAATACCATAGATTTGTTAAAAATTTATTAAATTTAATTTTTCCATGTCATCCGTTTTCATCTTCACTTTATTTTTAATGTTTTACTAGATCGTCATAATATCTATTGAATAATGTTGCACCCATCTTTTCTATTGCAGAATTATCTATCATTGATGAAATATAAGAAATTGCTTCAATCAACTTCATCATCGTTCACTAAATTAGTCCTATGTAGTCCTATCGAAGATTTGAAAATTAATGAGCAATGTTTATCTATTCTTTCAATAATACTAGAAGAGAAGTAATGATGAGATAAGTGAATTTGACACAAATATGTTTATAGAATTATTTATCATCAATGCAGTTAAGAATATGATTTGTCTTGATACTGAGTGATGACTATGATGATTCTAGAATGCATGCTTTATTTGCGTAAATTTCAGAATAATTATCATGCATACGTCATTTTGTTATTTTTCGATTAATTTCATATAATAAATTATTCAATTTTTCTACTTCATCAATATAGAATATACATTAAAATTCAATGAATAATTTTATCAAAGTATTGATTTTGATACTATTAATTATTAAATTTTCTTCTTCCAGATGGAAACAATCATTCATTGATATAATCAAATTGATTACTAATGAAATGCAATTCGTGTTTTTTTCGTCTGTATTGATTTTCATTATTTATACAAAAAAGATGTTTATTTAAAGAAAAAACACCAACTTTTTTAAAAATTTAATATCAAATAATAAAGAAAAATATCTAGTTTCTTTTTCGTTCCAACAACCAATGTTCAGCCAGAAAGAAGATCTGATGACACCATCATTATATCGATCATAAACAGTATTGATAGTCTTGTATAATGCAGGGTAGGCGTAGGTTTTCATTCTTGAATTATGTCCACATCCATACCCTCTTTTTTCGAAATTTTCGACATCAGTCGAGTGAATCTAGTTAAGGAGTCTAATATTAAACAAGCTCATTTTTTTAAATCTTTGTTTAGCTGTGTTATATGTCGAAGTAAAGAAAATTTTAACTTTTTAATTTGAATAATAATTATGAATAGCATATGTTTTGATTGGAAATTTGTCAACTCAAAACATACGCTCTCAGTTTTGAATATTCTAAAAAATCTTTTCTTAATATTTTTTTACTCAAAAATAAAATAAGAAAAATGTAAAATAATCTAGTAATTTGATTTTTCTTACTCATGTTTTTTTTCATTAATGTATTGACAATGAAAAGTTGCTTATCAGTACATAGGTAACTGCAGCAAAATAATGTCAAATAACAAACGGTGTAAACGCTTTGTCATGTGTTATTTTTCTTCATTCATGTTTCATGATCTGGAGAGGCAATATTTTTTTACGAGGGTCTGCACAAAATAAAAATAAGAAAAAATATTGTAGACACATATTTAGATAAATATCATCCAATGAAAAATGCAAACTAAATTTATCGATGTTGATCAACTGTAAATACATCAAATATTGAAATATAATATCATAGTTAATATTTTTTATATCTAAATATGAAAAAGTATTCCTGACGAAAAATTCGATGGTTTCATTTCTACAAATGTGTCAAATCTATTGTAAAAAAGACACGAATTTTGTTTACCATTAAATTTTATTTAAATTTCAGAAGAAAAAATTACATTAGAATAAAGGGATGAATTATTATTCTATCATGAATAAAGAAGAACAATGGTAATTTAATTTAGTTTGTTAATATTAAAGAAAATTCCAAAATTGTTTGGAATAAATTCTAAATTAGTGCCCGATAGGCAGAATATTTCTGACATGTGGACAAAAATCTGAGTTAAAAATTTCATTTCTGTAGAATTTGAAAAAGAAGTGACATAATCCTGCGCACAGTAATGTTTCGTCAGAAGATAAATGAAAAATATAACTGGGAGCCCGTTTTCCTCTTTTCTCCCATGCTGAGTGACGCAACAATGNGTAAAAAAAATATTAAATTCTAAAAACATTTTTTAACTACCATTTTACTTTTGTTTAATTTTTTTGGTTTCTTAAACCGATCCCCCCCCCCCCCCCCCTCGTCCACAGACTGTGATAGACTTTGCGACTAGCTTTGCTTTACATTTTCAGACGATGAAACACTGAGTTAGTATCATTGAGTGTTTGAAGTGTTGAGCCTTAAATTTTCGTGTGTCTCAGTCCATCTGACTTAGAACGATAATAGAATCGATATGGGTATGACTCTACTTTACGTTTAGAACCTATCTAACGTGATTTCCATTCCAATTCGCAGGAATATGCTGAAAGCTTTCCAGCTAATATTATTTTTTCACAATTGGTGTATTTATCTTCTATTCTTCTAAAATTTAAAATGATTATCAAGTTTTTTTATCGATACCACTATGCAAAGCTTCATTATCAGCTTTGTTGGAAAAAAAATGATGCTTATAAAATACTCAAAATCATATCTTGTAGGCTTTGATCATGGACTTGAGTAATGAAAGTTAATCACTATGCAAGGATACATCAGAAATATCTCTCTATAGGATAACATCCCCACACTTTGTCATCACTTAATATATTCACTCATAGACAGTTATACGTTGTTACATTTGTATCATATTGAAATACCATATAATTTACGGAAAGAACTTTTATATATAGTGTAGGGTATAGTAGTGGTTCTATATGAGGTAATTATTTAGAAACTATCATATGAAAATAATGGAAAATGATAATTGGCATGTTTTATCGTTTTTCTTTGCAATGAATGAAATTGAGAGAATTATGTAGATAATGGCACTTAAAAATGACATTAATCATTTCAAAAAATAATAACCAAAGATAACAAAGTACAAATAGTCCTTGCTCATAAGTTTGTCTTATCTCACCTACTTCAAATTGAAGAAAAAGCTACAGTTATGCGACATATGAGGATATGTAAGTAGTGGCATATGAGTTCGACAGTGTTTTCACAGTTTAAATGCTACTAATCTGTATTATTTGTCGAAAACTAGATGATTCATTTGTGTACATTTTGTATTAGGACCGCGCGCTGTCGCTACACCATATTCAGCATCACAGAAAGCTCGATGCGCTCTGTGCATCAACAAAATCGGTCTTGTTCAAATGCCGGGTGAACATGGTACACGTATTGAAGATGACGTGCGAATAACTGCTCTTTCAAGCGGTCGACAATATCTGACTGCTACAGTGTACGAAGACGGAACCTATAAATTACATGTCCAACTCGATTGCGGCGGACACTTAAGCGGGGATCCACAGGACAGTCCTTGCAGTCGTTCACTTAGTGTGACCGCATGGATTGATTTCAATGACAATGGATTGGATGAATCCGAAAGTCGTCTTCTCCAGCGTGCTTGGTCAGGCAATGATGTATCTACTGGCATCTATGATTTTGACACACGTATACCAAGAATTGACGACAGAACTACGAAGGCTGGACCTCATCGCATGATCATCACTATAGCGCCAAGTGAAGAGTATCAAAGAGAATGTGGCGCGTTTCCGTACAAAGAAACGCGAGAATATACAGTCGACGTTATTCCACGAGAGAGATATACAGGTAAATCATTGTTTGTTTACTGATTAGATATTTTGCAACGTAACGGTACATGTTTGACCGTTTCTATTGAAAATATTTTCCTGCATATTTATAATGAATGCTTTTTTTTATTGTAGCTCCACCAACGACTCCGTTTGTCTGCCCTCTAAGCATTGCCAAAATTATCCTTGTTATCATGGCCGGAGAAAAAGGAACAGAGATACGCGATGATAAACCTATGACTTCATTATCACCTAATTATATAAATCAACATCATATGGCTGTGACGCTTTTCGAGCACACAGTCTATCTGCTACGTATCCAATTGGATTGTTCTTCACAATTGAAGACTGAATTAACTCCAACTGGTTGTAATCTAGGTCAAGATGTTAACGTTTGGGTCGATCTCAATGATGATGGAAGATTCGATGAATCAGAGGTCGGGGCTCCTTACAGGTGGCCCGTAACAAGTTACATGGCAGAAGGTATATATGATATCCAAATTTACGTACCCTTGATTGATGGCAGATATACGAAAAATGCAGAACATCGAATGCGCATTTCTGTCTCACCAAGTGATTATTATCGAAGACTTTGCGGCGAATATAATTACCTCGAATCACTAGAGTATTTGGTTACAATTGTCCCAAGAATGAAATATTCTTGTAAGTATTCTTCTGTTTATTAGTGAAGTTTTCTTTTATAATGCGTAATAAAAAAGAGTTGAAATGATTCGTTTTAACTTTCTATGCTGAGACAAATACTTACGGTGTTCATTAGTTGTTGCTTTTGTTATTGATTCTTTAAGGAAAATAACCTATTCTCAGCAAAAATAAAAAATACATATATTGTCTGTTTTTCTTAATCATGAGGAATCTGTTAAAAACTATATCAAATCAAAAGGCATATGCAAAGTCTTTAGAGAACATAATTTTCATCCTTGTCATGCATATAAATGACGTATACAGTTATTCAAAAGCCTATATTATGGAGGTATATATGATGATTTTTCATCGATTCAACAGTATCTGCAGAACAGAAGTTAAACTTACAGTTACTTCAAAGAAATATTTTGGAGTATTGTAATCGAAAAGAAAATTTGCATTTCAAACGCCTAATGTTTTTGATTGAAATAGTTTGTCTATTTTGTTAGAAACAAACCAGTAGCTCACATATTTCTTAGGGCATACTACTGAAAAAGTGATAGAAACGATTAGAAACATGTTAGTAAAAGTCTTCGCATTCTCACAACTATGAAAAAAATACAGAAGACCATTTTAAAGAATATTTGCAAACAAATGTAGTAGAATAGTCGATTAAACTGATTAATAGTCATTATTAAAGAAGAAAATAGAGTACTTGTTGTGTATGCAGCTCAACCTCTCGACATCCACATTTCTGACTGTTTGGTCAATTCCAGAAATAGATTTTTCTAGAAAGGCGATTTTTTAGCTTTTTTCTAAAATGATGTACATATTAAATGTTGAGATTGATTAACAATCAGTTGTTCGAACTTTTTACGGTCTCATCAATAAATCAGTAGCACCTTCTCTAAACTACACTACTCTGACCAGTAAAATGGAAAGAAAGGTTTAATAAAACTCGGTTTTCGACTGGTATGATCTATGAAGACATATTTACATTTTTTCAGAGAATAGAGTTGTTAACATATGTTTCTAAGTTTTCAGAGCTAGATTCTATTTCTCTGAATAGTCACGAAATCGAAGATGATGATGTCGTCAGTGATCTACAGTACTGATAAAATCACTATTAAGAGTTCATCATTTTATACTCAAATATGGAGATATTATTCCATAATGCGTTTTATGTTGATGCATTTCTATGAGATTATATGGTTTCTAGACTTTTGAAAATATAAGGTTTTTACTAGCCAGTTTCTTTCTGACAATACCGATTCATAATGATTGCAGCTGTCATTTTTTTTCATAAACATTTGAGAACATCAGTCGTATGATCACTTTTTTTTGGTACAGAATGCTGTTCCTTTATCATAATCGATCAAACAACTTGTTTTGATTATAATTTACTGTTCGAAAGTTCAAGAAATTGTATAACATAAGAAAAATATTAAACTACATGTAGCACTAGACGCTATTCATGTTTTGCATTTTGATTATACTGAAATACTTTATTTTGTGAAATGATTTTTTGCAGCACTTGACGCTACGCCTACCTCTGTGGTACCACACAATGTACCATGTTCTCCTGATGTTGGCAAACTCATTCTTGTTGTCATGGCCGGTGAGCACAAAACGCAGATTAGGGATGATCAATCAACGAGAGCTCAATTGACTGGCAACACTCGAATTCATCAACATCTATCTATTGTACTGTATGAAGATACAGTATATTTACTACGCATACAATTGGAATGCACTGGATCACGGGACAGTTATTCAGCTGGAAACAACTGTAATCTGCCACATGATGTGGCTGCCTGGCTTGACCTAAACAATGATGGTACATTCAGTGATACAGAAAATGCTGCTCCTTATCGCTGGCCGCTCACTTCATATATACCACAAGGTGTATATGATTTACAGATTTATATACCAAATATCGATGGAGCTAAGACGAAAAGTGGACCGCATCGTTTACGGCTTGACGTAACATTAAATGAACAGTACCGGCAAAAATGTGGCAAGAGTTATTACCGGGAAACGCGAGAATATAATGTTACCATTGTTAAAAAAAATATGAAACAAACAGGTAAATATTTTTCTCCTCTATTTTATAACTAGAGATACTGAATCTCATGAGTACGATGCAATTATTTCCGTTATGAATGACTTTGTTCGTGTACTATGACGTTTTCAACTTTTAAAATATGAACGCTACTGTTAAGAGCATGAATATTTACGAACAGAATTATAGATGATTAAATTATCCTGCAAATAAAAGTATGTTTTGAAAAAAAAAGAAACTTGAAAATTTTAAATATAGAATAACTTTTAGAAGTTAATATGCCACTGAGATTTTTCATTTGATGAAATAAAACACTAATATTTCTGACAGAACTTCAATAATTTTTTTCCTCTAGACGTAGACACTTTTTTTTTCAAACAGCAACTAATAAGATTTTCTCTCAGTCGAATTCATTAGTAATCTAACTAACTATAACTATTGATTTCTACAAAACAAAAATTCTAGTAATAAGTTCTCTAATAAATGTTTCTTATTTGTCATTTATGGTCATAAATGTAAATATGGTGAAAACAAAAAAGTATCTCTTTTTTCACTGAAGTTGATTTATTCGAAAAAATATTCTTCCGAGAAATATAACCATTTTAAATGGGAGAGACAAACATAAATATATAAAATTTTGATTTTATTCTTTGCGAAAAAAAATACTAGAAGTATAACATCATCTACAAGTGTATAGAGACTATTTATTCTTCTTGTTTAAGCTTGTCGGAGAAACTTGACGTTAAGCTATATCACAAAGGATCGATACATTGCAATGCTTCACATTCATTTTATTGAATTGTGCAAATCTTAAATGAATTAAAATATGTTTTCACTGTCTCTAATTTAAAAACGGATATTTTCAAGAACGAGTTCTATATTGTTGCAAAACATAAGAATTTTTGACGGTTCAAATCAAATCAAGAGTTACTGATCGATAAAACATAATGAAGCTGTACATCACGAACGAAGATCTAATATTTCTATGATATGACATACTACTTTATTTTTTCAACCGAATCCATACAGAATATTTATTTTTGTGCATTTTTATTGTTTTTAGTCGATATTGGAGGTCCATATTTGACATTAAGTGATTCAGTATGTTCCAAAGCCCATGGAAAAATTGTACTTGTTATTGCAGCTGGTGAAAAGGGAACACACATTCGAGATGATACACCAATAAATACTATCATCAGAGAGGATCAAAATCGACATCATATGGGAATTACGTACTATGACAATACCATCTATCGATTACGTATTCAATTGGATTGTGACCAACGCTCAAGTAGAGCTCCGTTTAGGATCCAGTGCAATCTTGCTTACGATGTGAACGTTTATATTGATCTAAACAGTGACGGCAGATTTGACGAATCCGAGAGTCGTGTTCCTCATAGATGGCCCCTTCGTAGTACAATGACAATCGGTATTTATGATTTGGAAATTCCTGTACCTAGCATCGATGGAGTTACTACGAAAGGGGGATCACATATTATGCGTGTTGTTGTAAAATCCAGTGATGAATATAACAAGAAATGTGGTCGATCGGACTATAGCGAGACACGCGAGTATACGGTCAACATCATTCCAAAGGAAGCATATAGTGCCGCTCATATATATAGTGCAAGTAATATAGGTAAGCAAAAAATAAACAAAGACATGGCCCAAAACTACTCTAAAATGTCCATACTATCCAACAGATGTAGTCTGGGACATCTTGCGTGTCCGTGAGGATCAGTTACATTTTCAAGAAACGCCCTTCAGCTACGTTTGGGCTAATCTGATTACGTCTTTGTATCCGTCATGTCTAATCCATCTTGTCTGTTCATTCCCTCCAGATTAGTCCCGACAACAGAACAGCGAAAACAAAGAGACTAAATATGCATTCGAATATTTGATCCAATAATATTCGGTATAGAATGACCCTTCCAATGGCAAATTACGATTTAACGATAAGCGAGTGTCATTTTAAGCAGTCTAAATAACAGAGTAGCGCTTATTCATTGGATATGTAATCGAAATTTGTAGAAGAAAAGTGACTTACCTAATTCGAAATGTGTTCAACATATTTAACGAATTCAAGCTTTTCTATATTTCATTATATTCAGTGTACAAATTTATAATTTTGGTTGCTTCATATCAAAGAGTTTATCTTGCACTTTTCTGGAGGGTTAAAACTTGTATTTTTTAATACTGAAAGTACAACTCTATATCGAAGAACAAAGATACCTGAAAATACGAAGGATTTCAATTACTTCCTGATAAAAATTGTTTATTAATGTTCTTTAAGATTTATTAGATTTCGAAATTAATTAGAAATAATTTACTTTAAAAATATGTTTTATGTCTTTACGCTATAATTATATTTCAGTCTAAATACGAATGCTCGTGATTAATATGAAGATATATAAATTACATAATTGCCGTTCGTTTTTCATTTTAAATTGTGAAAATTTAAAATTATATCATATCAGAAATGTAGTCTTGTTTAAAAGTAACAGTAAACGAATTAGTTTTTATGATGATTTAATTTTTCAACCGATCAATATGACTTTAATAAGTCCAACATCATAGACTTGTGATAGTTGAGCTACGTAAGAGCAAAGAATCATTTAATTAAAAAAAACATCGTGAAGTATCGACAGTCCATGAAGTCGTCTATATAGTTTTATTGCTGTTGAAATATTTCTCGGTAATAAAAAAAACTATATCTTGCTATAATCGTGACTGTGTAGAAGCCGAAAAAAGCTCTGGATGCATTTGAAAACAACATAAACTTGATAGGTTTTTCTATTCATTGAAAGATGAGTTCAATGATGCACACGATTTGTATTTCAAAAATATCGACAAAGCTAGTGTCTGTTTCTCATACACACAGCCAAAATCATTACATCAAGTCAATTAATTTTTTATTACTATATGCTGTATTATCTCGTTTAGACTACAGAGTCGCGCATTGTTCTCCAGGCAATTTGGTATGTGCAGTAGGCAATGCTGCTATTTTTTCGGTAAGTTTATCGGGTGAACAAAATACTCGAATTCAAGATGACACGAAAACATGTAGCTCAACAAATAATTATAATGATCAAAGTAATCTAGCTGTGACATTATTTGACAATACACCTTATACTCTTCACATCGAACTATCTTGTGTCCAACAATCAGGTTATGATAATACGTATAGTCAAGATCCGTATGTATTTGGAACAGACTGTCGTGATGCTCGCTATCTTGGTGTGTGGATAGATCTCAATAATGATGGTGCATTTGATGAAAGTACAGAACGAATGGTTCCTAACAATTGGTATAAAGACGATCCTCGTATGACTCAGAATGATGTAAGTTTTACGATTCCACAAATTGATGGCAGATATCACGTAGGCGGACAACACAGAATGCGTGTTGTTATTGCACAAGATGAGCGAAATCGCAAGCCGTGCCAGAACACTGGTTATGGCGAAGTCAGGGATTATACAGTACAAATCATACAAAAACCTGGGTATTGAAATGATACATAGACATTTTATCGACACTTCCTCAATCCAGAATTTTTTAAGTGTGCTATTTTTAGTTCTTTTTTTAACATAGAAATAAAATTAACATTTCGCTACATGGGCATTGCTTAACTGAATTGTGAAATGCAGGAAAGACACCATGGAAAAACTTCAAATGTCATAGATATAGGGTGAAAATGTAATATACGACGGAGCCTATTTAATCAAAATAGATAAGCCTCACTAGACCAATTATAATTCATAAAAACTTGAAAGAGAACTAGCTGGAATACTTCGGTTAGCATAGTAAGCGTTCCAAGTGAGCAAAAGACGGGTAAAAAGACTAGGCGTTATTCTAGTCGTGCCATTAAGTTCTGTCTAATCTTTTTCACAAAAAATCCTAGTATATGACTATTATCGGATCCAAAATAAAAAGCAGGTTGTCGTTTTTCGAATAACTTTTGATAGGAACAAGATAGAGAGCTGCGATTTTTCCCATTCAAAAGAACGATTTTCGAGCCATCAATCAGTATAGAACTCATTAAGACGAGATATGGGTGGGGAGTGAATCTGAGGCGGGGGGATCTGGGAGTGAGTAGAGGGCGGGGGGGGGGGGGGGGGGGCGCGGGACAAAAAGCGGGAACCACCCCCAAAGTCAGGGGGGGGGGAACAGAAGGGAGAAGGG